GTGTGTGTGTGTGTGTGTGTGTGTGTGTGTGTGTGCATATAAATAAAAAATATACCTTTTGATTCTCAACTAGGGTGCCTTGAGTCTGAGTTCTGGCTGCTAGTATGAGCTAGTCTTGTACTGGGCAACTTTACTATGTGCTTCAGCCCTTCAGAATGGTATCTGTAATCATCTGTTCCTCATGTTGAGCAGTCAGAATGAGGCTTGTTTTTCAAAGCCCTGTCTTTATTGGGTAGGATTAAATGAAAAGACCTCCAGCTTCAGCTGTTAGTTAACACAACATCCTGATCTGTATCAATTCTGTTTCCAGGTCTCCTTTTTACCTATGGTGTGACGGGTAGTGGGAAAACGCACACAATGACAGGTTCTCCTGGAGACGGAGGACTTCTTCCGCGATGCTTAGACATGATCTTCAACAGCATTGGACCATTCCAGGCGAAGCGATTTGTGAGAAGCTTTGTGTCTCTTGTCTTTTTCAAGTCTTTAATTTGTAACAGTGACCTTCTAGTACCAACAAAACTTCTGCCTCAAACAGCATGGGCAAAAATGGAAATGCATAGATGGGGAATGTCATCGAAGTGAAGTAATTTGGGATGATTATCCTTCATATTTTTGTCTTGTTGAAATTTTCATTGCACAGTAATTGAAAAGAAGAAAGGCTTTGCTTATGTTGAAGTACTTTGTGTATATCCAACTTTGTTCACCACTCTCTTAGGTTTTTAAACTTGATGACAAGAATGGTGTGGATGTACAATGTGAAGTTGATGCTCTGTTAGAGCGCCAGAGAAGAGAAGCCATGCCAGTTCAAAAGACCCCATCTGGCAAGTGAGTAACTACCACAACTTGTAGTGTATAATCCAATTGCAAACTGGGTGACTGTGACTTAATCTTATGTCAGTCTGGTCATCTTTATTTTAAAAGGCAAGTGGAATGCTCAGGACAGTTGATATAGCACTTTTCAACCTGGGAGGGACAGGGAAGGCATGGTCACATTCAGAGCAGAGGACGTGGAGTTGGCAGTCTAGGTGCATTCTTGTAATACAGCTCAACCTTTCTCATACCGGGACCCATTTGCCAAGATGGATGGCTTGGCTTGTCCTGACCACACCACCCTGGC